AAAAAAAAAAAACAGCACAACAAACATCTAGGTTCAGTTCATCTTAAAAGAAACAACAATACCTGAATGTTGGGAGCAAAGCCACCCTCATCTCCAACATTGGTCGCATCCTGACCATATTTCTTCTTAATAACAGCCTGACATCACAATACATTAGATATTTTAGCGGACATGAATTTTAAATTCATTGCACGAGCACATTGTATTTTTATTTTTATTCTTTTAGAAGGCATAAAAGTGACGTGAAAACGAATGATGAGACTCGCCTTCAGATGATGGTACACTTCCACACCCATCTTCATGGCCTCCTTGAAAGAAGAAGCACCAACTGGGAGGATCATGAACTCCTGTAAACAAAAGAGTTTGTGTCAATAAATAGGTATGTAAGAAAGTCGCATACCCACACACAGGGTAAAAGATACATGCCTGCATGGCCAGTTTGTTTCCAGCATGTGAACCACCATTGATGACGTTGAAAGCAGGGACAGGGAGCACAATCTTCTTGTTGCCAGCTAGGTTAGCAATGTGCTGAAAGTGGAAAGTACAACCACATGTAAATGATGATAGGGTGAAACGAAGAAACAGAATGATAAAAATAAATAATTTGGTTAAATAATAATAATAGTAGATAAAAGAAAAGATGAGAATAAAAAACTATCTGGAGATTAGTATACCTTGTACAAAGGGATATTGAGGACAGCAGCTCCAGCTTTGCACACAGCAAGGGACACAGCAAGAATAGCATTTGCACCAAGCTTTTAGCACCCAAAAATTCACACAATCAGGTAAATATATTTTTCCTACATACTCTTACAAATGATGAAAGTCGCACAGATAAAACAAATTTATAATTACCTTCTGTTTGCACCAACCCCACTCATTCTGAGTGCCATCAAGTTGTTGAACCATGAAATTGTCAATAGCAGTTTGATCTGTTGGGTCCTGTAAAAGAAAGCAAAAGGATCTCACTGGGGCTTGCCAATTACATATAAACTTAAATGGATATTTAGGGCACTGATGCATTAAAAATTCAAAATATTTGATGAACAAAAACAGAAAAGTGCCATAAGTTGTCAAGAAGATACCTTTCCAACTAGGGCAGGTCCAATAATGGTGTTGACATTGTTAACAGCCTAATATAAAAAAGAAAAACAAAACAAAACATCAGCATCATAAATTGAATTGGGATAAACATGTAATGGATAATCTGCTATCACCAACCTTTGAGACACCCTTGCCAAGGTAGTCAGATCCTCCATCTCGCAGTTCCAGAGCCTCGTATATTCCTAACATTAATGCACAAATTTCAATACAAGTGTGTGTGTCTGTGTGTGTTCCATCTTTGTGTAAAAGCCCAGAGATAAAGGCATATAACATCTTTTTCTTGCATTTGCGTGATTCACAAGATTTAGATTCGGATAATCTTGCACAGACAAATTAAAATTTCCATAAAAAAACCTAAAAGCATCTTTGCTTTCATCGAGGTTTAACAATCTTAGATTGAGTAACCTTTCAATAAAATTTGTAATACTGAATGATGAAATTGAATCAAACATCAGTGAAAGAATACAAGAGAAAGGGCGCATGATTAACGGAAAGTACCAGTAGATGCACCACTAGGAACAGCAGCTCTAGCACAAATACCATTCGATGTGTGCACATCAACCTGCAAATAGTTCGCAAAC